CCTGGATGCGCCTGGCCTTGGGGAAGGGGCTGCAGGGCAGCCTCAGAGGGAGGTGATGGCTGCCATGGCCACCCCTGCTCCTCGTGCCCACGCCCTGCTGTGCCCATGCTCCTGGTCACAGCTCCCCGGCTTCTAGCCTGTGTGGCCCTGGGCAGGCAGTGGCCCTGGAGGTGGAGAGAGGCCTGGGCAGCTGGCCTGGTGGGTGTGGACTCTGCTGTCTCCTGGCAGCGAGCACCTGCAGGGCTGTCATCCGCTGTGCTGTGTGGCTAGGCAGCCGGCTTACCCTCAGCCCCACGAGGGCCTCCCCACCCCGGCCCACACCAGCCCTGATGGACACAGCCAGGGCCCCTGCACAGTCTGCACATGCACCTCCGGACCTGCTAGAGCCCAGACACTGCGCACAGCCTCCTCCCCCACCGGGGAAGCCTCAGACATCACCCGGAACACGGCAGGGTGGGGCCTAGAGTCCTGATTAAGCACAGTTCAAGCAGCCCATGCACAATGGGGTCATGTGGACCCCACATGCACAGCCACACCAGCACTGCGCTATAATGCACAGCTGCACAAGCCGCGCTCGGACACAAGCACCACAGGAAGGCAAACAAGCCACTCTGAGGATAGCTTTCGATGGACCCAATTTTGTCTTTAAGACGTCTTGAAACAGTAAAGTGGGAGACAATTGATCTCTTCCCTGGCATTTCATGACATTTGCTGCTTGAGATGAACACCGGACAGAATACAAACCTGTACAACACCGTTAACCCACAGCGGCCCCTTGCCAGCGCCCTGCAAGCCAGTGAGACAGAGAAGGACGCCCTGGGTCGAGGCCCATTCAGTGGCCCAGCAGGCAGGACACCCCAAAATGATGAGGGGCCCCAGTGTGTGAGTCATGACAGCAGCAGCTCTGCCCTAGGAGGCAGGCTCTTCACGGGGCAGAAAACAGAGACCTGTCGGGGCTGATAGCCCGAGATCCACCCTGCCGGGGACTGCAGGGTCTTCTGAATTGCTAAATTGTGTGTCTGGGAGTGGCCATTGTCAGCACCCAGGTGCAGGGGCCCTACCCCGTCTGGACCAGGGCACTGCATCACAGACCAGTGTCAACTCTGTCGTGGGTGGGCAGGAGGTGAGCCGGGGCTGAGGCGCCCAGAGCCCAGCACCTTTGTCACTGCTGTATGTAGGGTGAGGCCTCAGACAAGTGGGGGCCTGCGTGCCAGTTCTGCTGGCTCAGTGCCCTTCCCACCTCTCAAACTGTGACCCACGCATTTCTATTATTAATGAATTACTCGGTCTCAGGTATCCTGGACAGCAGAGGAATGGACCAAGCAGGGACACAGGGATGGAAGTCACAGGCCCACAAGGCCAGGATGGGCCAACAAGACCTTGGCTCTAAGACTCGATGGGAGCCAGGTCCTCAGTTCCCCTCTGGAAGGAGCGAATGAGAGAATAAACAGCTGACTCAGAGACGTCTGCTGGCCTCAGAATAGAGGCTTTGGCGACAAATCTACACCTCATTTAGACACTGGGTCCCCCAGACTATCAGAGCTTTTCCAAACACCTTATGCGATCTGGGCACTCCACAGTCCCCCAAAATGTATGAGGCCCTCTCCTGACGCCAAGGAAGCCCATGCATCCGCCTCCCATCTGTCTGCATGGACAGCGGTCCCTGCCCTGGGAGCCACCAAGAGCTCCATCCAGCCCTTCGCAGTTACCGGTAACCCCTCATCACCTTCATCAGAAGCTGACGTCCTTGTCCCTCTTTAACTCTGGGAGTGAAGCTTGGTTCATTTCCTGGAAAAACGGTTCCAATACCAAAAGCATGTTGGCTTTGATCTGGGGCCAAGGCCAGCACTGACCACATCTCCTGTGTCCAGCTTCTCCCTGCACCCCACTGCATGGGGAAGGGGCTTCCGTGTCCAGTTGCCTGGCTCTCGGTCACCTTCATGATTCTCTGACTTCATGGGTGTCTGCTCAGGGGAGGTAGCCCAGGCCGCAGCTGCTTCTCTGATTTTGGAAGGTCCCGGGCCTCGGTGAGTGGTTTAATTTTTCAAACATCCTACACATACTCAGGAAGAAGCTGTATTCTCTGTTCCATGACTAAGTTCCACCCACCCGGAACTCTCCGGCCTCTTCCCCGTCTCTCAGATCACACTGACCCTGCTTCTCCCCACCCGGCTGCTCCGCTTATGCAGCTTAAAATTCATGTTTCAGAGACAGGGAAGGATCCAACCCCGCTTCCAAAGTGGGATGGTTCATGCACCTAACCCAGCACCAGAGACGACTCTGTGGGCCGTGCTAGCCGTGACCCGGCCTGACCGCCATCCACCCTGGCAGCCGCACTCTGGCCACAGTCGCAGGACCCCTCGACGTGGCTCACAGCTGCCAGGCAGAACACCAGCGAGGCTCCAGCTGGGGAGTCACAGAGACCCATCCTCCCCCAGGGGCCTCTAACCTCCCGCTGCACATGCTCTGCAGCTGAAACTGGCTCACCCATCCTGCCCACCTGCTGTGGGCACAAAGGTGCTTCTTAAAATGTCACAGCCGCAAAGCAATTACCCTGGGCTCACCAGGACGCCTCGGTGGCATTATTTAATTTGTTTTCTCTTCTTATTTCCTTTCCATTTAGTTCAATTCGCCACGACACGCAGGGTTCTTAAATGCGCTCTCCACCGGCCCCCACCATTCACAGGAAAACACTCATTGTGCTTAGCCTGCGCCCAGAAGCGGGAATCAGCCTGCAGCTCCCCCGCTGACCGGCCGGGGCTCCTGGGCTCCGCACCCGAGCCCTGCCCATATCCTGGCCACTCGGCCAGCAGTGCGCTGTCCGCACTCCTCTGAGAGGACTGACCCCAGGGCCTCCTCACTACATCCACAGACCACTTCTTTCCCCCCTTCTCTTTCTTGAGACAGGATCTCACTAGGTTGCTATGCTTCCCCCGGCCAGGCTTGAATTTGAGATGCTTCTGCCCAGCCTCTCGGCACCTTCGCATTATTACAGCACCAAGGAGGGGCCGGCTGAGGGGCAAACCGAGTCTTCAAACAAGCGCGTGACCAACCTGGCAGGCTGCTCGGGGCCAGGCGACCTCAGCGGAGTGCCCTGCCGCGTGTGGGGGCCACCCCGTGCCGCCGAGCCCCAGCTGGCTCATCGGTGCCGCCTCACCTCTGTCCTGCGCCCCCGGGGGCAGCAGGAATAAAGGCTGTGGGGGCCCTGTGGCCAGCGTGTCCAGTGTGCCCTGCGCCTCCACGTGAGGAGGAGGCCAGCGCAGGTGAGATGGAGCTGAAGCCCTGCCGAAGGCCGCTCACCTCTCTCTTCCCAGGGCTGCGCGGCTGGAGTGCTTTTACACTGATCAAACCGCTTCACGGCTGTCACCGACAGCAGGTCAGAATGCAACGCATGCCACGTTCACAGAGAAAACTACTCACAGAGAAAACTCCTGCCGGCCAACCAAGATACTCTTCACCACCCTGGGGTGGCTGCACACAGAATGCGAGCTCCAGGACAGTGGGGAAGCCTGGCCTCAGGCCCCCAGGTTGCTTCTCAGGCCCAGTCAGCCCCTTTCAGGCAAAGGAAAGGGCAGCAGACCTTGCCAGGTGCGGACCTGGACACAGACTGCCTCTCGCCGCGCCTCTCCAGCACGGCGGCCTCTGTGCTGCTGCTGCTCACAGCTTTCCCAGTGAACGGTGTCGTGCTGGGGCACCGCCGGGTTCTGCCTGGAGTGGGCTGCGGGGACTTCTGGGGCGATAAGGAGCTTCGGCCTACGCACACGGACATGCACACTCCGGCTCTCGCCTGCCCATCTCCAGCCCTGCCTGGGCTGGACGCAGGAGGCAGGAACTTGAAGGCCAGCAGGATCTAGAACAAGTGCTCATGGAGCCCCCCCAGGGACACAGTGCACACGGCCTGGAGGGGCCAACACAGAGGCCGGCGCCATGCCGCGCGGCCACGGGCCTTTCCTTTCCATAAGCAGGCGTGGTCACCGGCCAGGGGGCACGCAGTCAGCCCCTCCAATGCACCCCCTGAGCACAACAGAAGGTAACAGGGATGGGGACCCACGCACCAGGCTGCTGGCGCCCCAACAAGTCACAGCCTTTCTCAGGGCTCCACATTCCCAGAACAGTCCAGGTGTCCCTGCCACAAGCACAACGAAGCAAGAGCATGGCCAGCCGGGGAAGCTCCCTGAAGGGCACAGTGAGCCCCTGCCGATGAAAGGGCAGCTATGGAAGGGACAGTGACAACCTCGCTCCACCTAGGAGCACTGGGTAGCAGCTTTGGGCTGGCAGAAGCCCTCCCTGCCAGCCCTCCTGGGGGCAGTGCTGTTCACCCCGGGGGAGCAACAGGACCTCCTGGCTCCCCCCTCAGGCCTCAGAGAGGACAGGGCACATGGGCTGCCTAAGAGCACGGGCTGAGGGACAAGGCGGCCTGCGAGCCATCGCTCTGGGGACTCAGGATGGCAGGGCCACCTCGCCTATCTCTCTTCATCTGAGAACTGTGCCCATGGGCAAGCTGGAAGACAGTGACGCAGCCTGCCGGGGAGGAGCCCCACAGTGCGGGCGCCCCTCTGCTGGACCCCGCCTGCCCCAGGCAGAAGGACTTCCTGTCCACACCTGAGGTGGCGGCAGCTGTCACCCATGAGCGGTCCACAGCTCGTGCTCAAGCAGCTCTCAGATGTGCCAGCTGGACTGGTCTGCACGTGGAGCAGGGCATTGCACAGACGCCCCTGATGAAGGGTCCAGGTCAGGGCAGAGACTGCGCAGAGAGGCTAAACCACGCGTCCCAAGTCACACAGCTCCCAGGCTGTGCGACATCTCACCCGGTAAGGCCCAGCCATCCCAGGTCAGACGTGAGGCCTCTGTGCCCTCCAGGGTCACACTGCCCCTGTGTGCCCTCAGCTGGGCACTGTGGGGGGGGGGGGTAGAGCTAGCACCCCCAACCACCCACAGGCAGCAGCGCTACAAGCCTGTCTCAGCAGAAAGCCAGCTCTTCCAAACAGATGTTTACTTACTTGAAAATCTCTTTCTTCTAGTATTTTTTTCCTCCATCTCACGAGGAAAGCGGCACAAACGTACAAGTGGAAATGAGAAAAGCCCTCGGGTTCCGACTGAAAGAGAAAACAGCAAGATAACGTTAACGGAACCCCACTCATCCAGCCCCACGTGGAGCAGCTGCCGGCTGTCCTGCGGGACGCCAGCCGGACACAGAAAGCCTGGAGTGCCTGGCCACACACGTGTGCGTGCGGGGATGGGGGGTGGTGTACATTCCTCTGCAAAGGGGGGCGGTGTCAGCCCCTGGCATCACTGCCGTCTCTCTGTTGCTGGATGAGCCCTCCCCGCTGCCCTCTCCTGATCCTCCCGCTCCTGCAGACCCGGTGCACCCGTCTCCCGCCAGAGACCCTTGCCCCAGGGCTCCTCTCAGGCCCCTACAGCTCCCCTGGAGAACACCTCCTAGCGCCTGTCACCTGGGATTCCCTTACTACCCCAAGCCCATGCGCCACCTGCTGAGCCTGGGGTCCTCCGAGTGCCACCTTCGCAGTCCAGCCACGGGCTCCCGGGTCACACACTGCACCACTGTGGCTACTGACTTATCACGGACTGAATAAAATCCATGGTGTGTAAGATGGTGATGACAATGTTTTAGAAAAAACAAGGCACGGGGCGGGGGGGACAGGGGTGTTTGTGTTCACTGGGCGGGGCTGCAATTTCAATATGGTTTCCGTTACCTGCAGACACGGTCAAAGACCCCGAGAGAGAAACCACGCAAACATGGGGCAGGGTGATCAAGGGACACACTTCACGAAGACCCGGGGGCCAGATGGCCATGGAGGAGAGCACAGGGCTCCAGCAGACTGAGCTGCACTCGGGACCTGAGGCCGGAGGGAGGGGACTGCACAGGGGACAGACCTTCGGGCTCCGGGGCTGTGCAGCTCTGCCTAGGGCCAGACGCAGGCTGCAAAGGGTTCCACTGAGGTCAGTCAGGGCACGGGGCTGACGAGGAAGGACAGGCCAGGGACACAGGCCAGGGGATGGGTCAGCACGAACCGAAAGATGCTAGTGATGGTAGGGGGGCTTACAGCTGAGAGAGACCTGGGGCGTGAGGGAAAGAGAGGAACCAAGGACAGCACCGACACTTCTCACCTCAACAGCTGGAGGAGGGTTTTCCATTTCCTGAGATGAGGGAAGGTTGGCAAGAGTTTGCAGCAGAAAGTGTTCTGGGGAGGAGATGGTGATTCATTCCCGGACAAACCAAGTCTGAGACGTCACGGAAAGACAAAGTGGAAGAGTGTGGGACTCAGATGTGAACACTGAGAGTGGAAAGGTAAGGGGCAGGGGCACGGGGCCAGCCAGGAGAGGCACAGGCTGCAAAGGGACCAAGAGGTGACCCGGGGACCAGGGCAGGGCTGCCTGCAGGGTCAGCAATGGTGTCCTCAGTGCATACCACCACGCTGGCTGGCGCTGGCGCTGTCATGCCTACCGAACGACGCGCCTGCCTTCTGCCTCCTGACTGTAAAGGGTCAGCTGGTTTCACCTGCCGCTGTGGACAGCGGTGTGTGCACCACCCACACCCTGCAGATGGCCCACACAGGTTAGGACAGTTCCCTCCCACTCCTGATTCACCGGCATCCTGAGCACGGTGGCTGATCGGGGAATGGGCCTTCAGCGTGCACCCTGCACTCCGGGAACACACTCCGTTTGGTCAGAACGTGTCCTGGGTGCCCGTGGCTGGCCCGGGCTGCCTGCAGGGGTGAGGTCAGCTCTCTCCCCCTCCTCCACCGCCACCTCACTGGGCAGCTTTCTCACAGGACTGGGCAGTGCGCCCCGGCTGCTGCTGGGGAGCTCCTACAAGAAGGGAAGGGCCCGACTTTTCTGAGTTTTGGACAATTTTATGTTTCTAGGAATTTTTTTATCTAAGTTCTCCAGTTTGTTCACAATATTCTGCTCTTTGAGCGTTCGCTATCCCGTTTGGGTTTCTAATCCCAACACGTTAGGTGTGTTTCCTCATCTGAGGCACTCAGCACGCACAGGGCTGCTAACTTCTCAGCCCTAAGGTAACCCCGCTGACCCCCTCGGGTTCAGCACCTCCCTCTTTGCCGCTGTCTCCATCAGCCCCTTCCTGGCACTGACACCCTCTCTCCTTTTCAAACACGCACAAAAGTACAGCAGCCACTACTCAGTTTTTCTGATTATTTTTCGAACTTAAGACAGATGATTCACTCAGTGGTACATGGCCTCCCTTCATTTCTAACCCACGCAGGCCCTCACAGCCCAGCCTCCCTCCACTCACACCTTGGCAGACGGACACGGCTCTTTCTGGGTCACAGCTTATGTATTGGTATGGTTTAGAATCTGTAAGCACGAGTGGTTCATTTCTGTTGTCTTTTTAGCATTTGATGCTTAAGAATTTGTAGCTTAACTGTTATAAAGGAATGTGATTTATATGCCACTGATTCTTAGAACTGCTTTAGATTTGATTTTTGCAATAGACCACAATCACTTTCCACAAACATCCACGGAGGCGGTGCTGTTACAGATGCAGAACTCAGAGGTCAGACTGTCACGACATAAGCACAGGCCACCTGCCCTGCCACCTGAGGTGGTGTGCCTGGTCTCTCTGTGCCCCCCGATTCCTTGTTTGTAAGTGTTGTGAAGATTAAATAACCAGTAACAGCCACCTTCAGTATCTCGAACACACTGAGTGGTGTATCAACGCCCAATATTACTGGCCTGGGGTAAAGGGCGTATCCCGGAGTGCTTGGACGCAGTGTCCTGTGTATGTCCACTAAGCAGTTAACCAACAGTGTTGTCTGAGGCAGCTATGAATCCTTATTTTTTCATCTGCTTATGATATATCAATAACTGAGAGATACGCCAAGGATGGATTTATTTGCTTTCTCTTTACACTTCTGCCAAACTTGTACATATTTGGAAGCTGTGTTACAAGGTGCATACAAATTCAAAACTGTTTTATCTTCCTGATACAGCCAGCAAAATCGCTGTCAACATGTAGCACATCCTTTCTCTCAAGCACTGCTTCTGCTTTTGATGTCTTTGGATTGGGAGGACATGGAGGTGGAGCCTCATGTGACTAGAGCACACATCAGCTGCGTTCAGTAATTTATATTAAACACACAATAAACTACACATGAAGTCTGGCAGCTGCTAAGTTCTGCTCCACCCCCACCTGTGAAGGCACCGTACCCATCGGACAGTGACTGTCACCCCGCAGTGCCCTTGTCTGCAGTCCCCCACCAGCTGAGCACAGCTCTGCCCTGCTGCCGTGGCTCACCCTTGCTACACACGCATGTGGACGGACGGCACAAGTGCACCTGGGCGGGTCTGCGTGGCTCTGGTCTAGCTTCCCTCACTCGACACTGCTGAGCTTCATCCTGCTGTTGCAGGGACGATGGACAGCTGAGCCAGGTAAAAACATCAAAGGCAGTCTGGTACAGTTTGTGTCTAGATTCCCCCAAAGCCTCATGCAGACCAAGGCTTTTCCAGAGGTGGCCGAGTCTAGAGCGTGGGATGCTGGGATCACAGTGTGTGATTCGGAAGTCAGCCCACTGTTTGGTTCGGCCCAGTTCCGGCTAGGGCTAAGGGTGGGAGTGCTACACTCACTCCGGCTGTGACCAGCCTGTACACACTATAAGGGACAGAAAGAGTCTTGTCTGTCTCCTCTGCAGCTTTTGCTATCTTGTGGGTACCATGAACTGTTCTCCTCTGTGATGGCCCTCTGCCAAGCCGCTCTGCCTTGGAGCTGGCCAACTATGGACTGAAACCTCTACAAACTGTGAGCTAAATAAACCTTTCCTCCGTTAACTTCAGGTATCAGGTATTTTGTCCCAGCAACAGGAGAAAAGTAATTAAGATACAGTCAGACAGGGCTAGGGGGAGTCAATACAAAAGATAAAAATATGTTACAGCTGTGGCTAGAGGCACATCGTGGGAGGCCAGGCCTCAAGATAAAGACAAATGGCCAGGCCTACATGCCTCCCGGGGAGTAAGATACAGGGTATCACCTGATCCAATAAAGCCTAGCTACACATCAGTAACCCAGACCCTCAGACCCATCCCCTCCTGAAAAGGGAGGGGTTCTTCCCATGCACACTTGCCACGTGACTTGTTTCTCCACCGGATCAATATTCCCTAAGCAGACACATCTATAATCTTATTAGGTGATCATAGCTTTGTTCCACCTTGTGTTTTGCTTTATAAAACTTCCCCCAGAGAGTGGGGTCCGAGGTCACCCACTGGGCACCTGTCCTGCCTCTCAGGAGCGGCATCTCTCCCCCTCTGTAAATATTTCCTGCTCCTAACCTCTGTCGTTCCTTAGAACTCGTTCTTCCGTTTGGTGGAACATGAACTCCACGGATCTGCCACTAACAGGACCAGAGCTACAGTATTCCCTGCATATCACTTAGACCTGCTGTATCATTCTTGGAGGCCCCTCCAGGATAAACAGAAGCTGGTAAACAGTCTGCTTTGGCTTCATGGATTCTGGGCTTTAACTCGTTTATGTAATTAAAAATCGTCACCCTTGTTCTCCCATTGCTAAAGCCTTGAATGTTTGCACTATCTCTTTCATGCATTGTCTTTTGTTAAAACGACAATAAATTTAAATTGAGAACATGGAAAACTATAATGTTTCTGTGGTGTGACATTTTGCTTTTGCAAGCAGGACCTTGTGTTCTTGTTTTATATATGCTGCATCTGGACTTACTTGTTGGTGTATTTACCATTAAACTGCTGTGGTTTGTTATCTTACACAGCAATGCTAGGGAAAAACAATGTCAGAGCATCCCCCAGTGGACTTTGATATGAAATACTATGTAACGATGGGTTTTCAGAGAGCACAATCTTTACCTGCCCCTTAGAGAACGCTAAACAACAGAGTAACTCTGTTTTTTACTCTGCCACCTAGTTAAAGACTCTTGGGGTGGCTGCTACTCTTCAAGCAGAGGACAGGGTTCCCCGGCACCATCTGGTTACTCCCCACACTGAAGCGTGGGAATGCTGCCCAGACAGGCAGCTGGATTCCTCTCTGGAGAGAGATCTCTCTAGTTGTACAGAAACAGTGAAATCTGCAAAGACAACTGAGGGGTCATGG